CCTTCCCACCCCCCAGCTTAGAAGTGAAGCATGGCTGTCCTTGAAGAGAAATGGACCCTAAGTGGAAGGTACTCATTTCTTTTCTCATCCCCAATCTTCATTTCTGTAACTTGCAAGTGAAAGAAACCCTTCAGGGTTCCTTGCCAAGGCAACTAGCTCAATGTCTTCACTGCATGGTTCAAAACATTATATCGTCAAGAGTTCGTGTTATGAGACATGGTCTTCCTCTAGTTTCAGTGAATGATGATCTTTCTTTAAGTTTGATGTTTATTCCTTGTAAATATATTTCCGGTAGGGAATTCAGTAAATATATATTCACTGTAGTAGTTATCTATTTTTTATATCAAATATCTAATCTCTCCCTTAGAGAACTATAACATCCCTACTCTTAGCTCTGTTATTGAGGTTAATCTACCTCCACACCTGGGCTTTGGCAGGAGCTAGTCTAATCCAAAACATGTATTTTATTTACCTCCTAATCACCAGTGATTAGTTCAGGGATTAGGATGAGCTTGACATTGCTGAGGTCCTTAACCTGGAAAAAACAGCTAAACAATGGATCCTGCTAATATAATTTGAGCTCCAAATCAAGCTAGATCTACAAAAACTAAAATTGAGTTTTGATATGATTTTATATATTCATTTAAATGTCATTATATAAAAAAAATAAGGCCAAATGTGAAGATCTGCTTAGGAAAACTGTACTTTTTTGCTCATTGTACTGCCACTGTTAAAATACTATCTTGGGCCACGCCCATGATAAAATAGGAGAGGACTTTGTTAGGCACAAGCCCCAGATGCTTCTCCAGAAACAAAGGCACTGACTGGTGTCATATCCCTCCCCCACTCCTCAACATAAACACAGAGCCATCTGAGGGAAAGTCAACCAGAACAATGACTACCTAACTTGCTTACACCAAGCCACCCACCCCACCCCATGCTCTGGTGGGACTGCCCATTTCAGTCAAGCTTGTCTCAGTCCCAGTGAGGCAGCTGCCCCCCCCCCCCCCGGAAGACAAACACAAACCCCTGCCCACACCAGATCTTCCATCCAGAGAGTTCTGTTGGGCCTCAATTCTGGTGGAGTTGGTGTCAGGTCTCATTTTGCAAGTAGATTAGAGCACACCTAGTTAAAACTCACCACATTCAGGCCAGGGACCAGACACTGCCCACAGCAGTCAAGAAGCAGACCACTGGCCTGAAGGATAGCAGCCAAAACATGACAGCTGAGTGCACACAGCATATACCGCAGACACCCTGTGAAGCGCCAGGCCCTGGGCACTACATGACCTCTTCATAAGGCCATTACTTTCAGGGGCAGGAGACATAACTAGCTTTTCCATCATACAGAAGAAGGCAGAGACTTAGACAAAATGCCAAGATGGAGAAATTTATCCCAAATGAAAGAACAAGATAAGGTCACAGCCAGAGATCTAAGCAAAACAGGCATAAGTAACATGCCTGATGAAGAATTTAAAGCAATAATCATAAGGATACTCACTGGGCTTGAGAAAAGAATAGAAGACATCAGGAGACCTTACCACAGAGATAAAAGACTTAAAAAAAAAGAATTAATCAGAGATGAAGAATGCAATAAATGAGACTGGAAACAGGCCTGATGCAAAGAAGAGCAGGCTGGAAGAAGCATAGGAATGAATTAGTGGCCTAGGAGACAAAATAATGGAAAATAATGAAGCTGAATGAAAGAGAGAAAGAAGAATTATGCAACACAAGAATAAATTTAGGAAACCCAGTGACTCCATCAAATGTAATAACATTCATATTATAGGAATCCCAGAAGAAGAAGAGAGGGAAAAGGAGGCAGAAAATTTATTTCAAGAAATAATAGCAGAAAACTTTCCTAATGTGGGGAAGGAAACAGACATCCATATCCAGGAGGCACGGGGAATGCCCTTCAAAATCACAAAAGCAAGCCAACACCTAGACATAATCTAATTAAATTTTCAAAATATAATGATAAAAAAATCTTAAAAGCAGCAAGACAAACGAAGTCCTTAACTTACAAGGGAAAACCCATAAGGCTAGCTGGAGATTTCTCAGCAGAAACTTGGCAAGCCGGAAGAGAATGGCATGATATATTCAAAGTGCTGAATGGGAAAATCTGCAGCCAAGAATACTTTACCCAGCAAGGCTATCATTCAGAATGGAAGCAGAAATAGAGTTTCCCAGGCAAACAAAAACTAAAGGAGTTCATGACCACTAAACCAGCCCCGCAAGAAATATTAAAGAGGAGAGGGGTCACCTGGGTAGCTCCGTCGGTTAAGCGTCTGCCTTCGGCTCAGGTCATGGTTCCAGGGTCCTGGGATCGAGCCCCATATCGGGCTCCCTGCTCAGTAGGGAGCCTGCTTCTCCTCTCCTGCTCCCCCTGCTTGTGCTCTCTCTCTCTGTCAAATAAATACACCAAATCTTAAAAAAAAAAAAAAGAAAGAAAGAAAGAAAGAAATATTAAAGGGAACTCTGAGTACAGAGGAGAGACCAAAAGTGATGAAGACAGGAAAGAATCAGAGAAAATATCCAGAAACAACAACAAAACAAGTAATAAAATTGCAATAAATACATATGTATCAATAATTAATTTGTAAATGGACTAAATGCTCCAATCAAAAAACATAGGGTGTCAGAATGGATTAAAAATTTAAAAAGCCATCTATATGCTGCTTACAAGAGACTTATTTTAGACATAAAGACACCTGTAGACTGAAAGTGAGGGGGTGGAGAAATATATATCAGGCAAATGGATGTCAAGAGGAAGACGGAGCCTAAATACTTATATGGGACAAACTAGACTTTTTTGTTCTTGTATTGTTTTTATCCTGCTTTGGTATTAGGGTAATACTGGCTTCATAGAATGACTTTAAATGTTTGCCCTCCATTCCATTATTTTTAAGATTTTAATAAAGATTGTCATTTTTTTTGTTTTTTTGTTTTTTTAAATGGTAGAATTCACCAATGAAACCATGTAGTCTTGGGCTTTCTTGTGCTGGGAGATTATTGCTTCCTATTTCAACTTTCATTCTTGTTATTGGTCTAAGATTTCCTATTTTTTGGATTCAAGATTTATGATTCAATCTTGGTAACTTGTGCATTTTTAAGAATTATCTGCTTTTTCCCAAATTATCTCTTGAGTTATCTGGTTTGTTAGTATATAACTGCTTATAGTAATCTGTTATCACACTATGTATTTCTGTGGTATCTGCTACATTGTTTTCTCTTCTAGTTCTCATTTTGATTTTTGAGTCTTTTTTTTCTTAGTGTAAAGCATGCCAATTTTATTTTTTTGAAAAACTGGTCATTACTTCTGATGTTATATTATTGCTTATTCTGGTCTCTATTTTATTTATTTCTGATTTTTATTATTTGCTTTCTCTACTAAATTTGTTAAGTTTCTTCTTTTTCTAGTTCCTTGGGGTTTAATGTTATTTCAACTTTTTTTCTTAATATAAGCATTTATAGCATAAATTTCACTCTACCATCTGCTTTTGCTGCACCCCATAGGTTTTCAAATATTGTTTTCTTTCTTGTTTGTTTTGACATATATGGATTTGCTGTTTGATTTCTTATTTGGGCCATTGCTTGTGCATTAGTGCTTTGTTTAATATTTACTATTATTTAATATTAAAAATATAAAATAGAATGTTGGTAGCACACACTCCAATCTCTAGGGCAGTTTATTAACCTTTTATCTCTACAGGGAGAATATCAATCAATGGTTCCTAAAAGCTGGTCTGCACAACGGGATTGGTCAGTGACAACATTCCCACCAACCCATAGCATTCTTTTCCGATAAATTCTACTGCTATATGATGGTGAGCAGAACTCTGAGCCAAGTCCTAGGCATGAGAGGCAACTGAGGGGAAGTGCTCTGAAACTCTCTTCCTACTCTAACTAGATAACTGGCTGGAAAATTCCACCTCACTTCAGGGAGTAGCAGAAGGAACTGGAGGCATGGAGGCCATTGTTTTGTGGCTTTTAGTTGTGCCCAAGATATCCTGAACCAGTATTATGTGGCTTCCGTTATAGACAGCATACTTAATACAACCGAATTCACAAGGAAAGGATAGTGACAAAAAACAGAATCTTAGAACAAGTTGACATTTTAACTCTAGTCTGTGTTGAAGAAGATTCCAAGATGGCAAACTTATATCCAGATGACAATTAAACAGTATAAATGTTATAAAATGGAAAGGGATTGTGAATTTTCCACTTTTGGATTTTCAAAAATGTATCTATCCTTTTTTGAGTATCTTAGTAGAATCCTGCTAACCTTCTGATGTGAAGGTTTGCCCTTTATTTTAACTATAGATTCCTTTTGGTGTGAGAGAAAAAATTTCTTTCCTTTATGATATTAGAATGATAGTATAGTAGTATTTATTTTTGCCAAGTACATTTCAAAATTTGCTGACCTTAGGTTGGGCCCACATTCCTAATTTTTTATTACTAATCCATGACCTTAAAAAGCTTGGAGGGGCACCTGGGTGGCTCAGTCAGTTAAGCGTCTGCCTTCAGCTTGGGTCACGATCCCAGGGTCCTGGGATCAAGCCCCGCATTGGGCTCCCTGTGGCTCCCCCTGCTTGTACTCTCTTGCTCTCTCTGGCAAATAAATAAATAAAATCTTAAAAAAAGATAAAAAAATAAAAAGCTTGGAAACCAATGAGACACAGTGTTGGTTGTACGAATTCCCATTTCCAGGCTAGCCTTAAACTGCCCATGCCTGCCATTAAAAAATATGTATACACACACACAAACACATATATATATATATATATATACACACATAGTACACTTTCATTTTAGAAAGGACACATTTGACTTTATAAATTTTATTTCTTAAGATTTTAATTAAAATAATTTAAAGAAATACACTACACAGAAATGTTACAGAAATACAAAAAAATTATATAGGCAAACAATGGATAATAAGAATTCTTTTTAAAAGGGATACACAATGATAAAAAAAAGAGAGAGAGAGAGAGATACACAATAGGGAAGAAAAATGAACAATTTTTATATACTATTCATACATTAATTATAAACCATAGCAGTAAAAGCTTTCCGAACATTGGCAAGAAAAGCCGAGAAATTGTTGGTCTTCCTTACATTCTCTTGAAATTCTGCCAGGCACTCAAGATGAGGAGCACTATCTGACACTAGAAGGAAAAAAAAAAAAATAGAAGATAATTTGAATGAGATTTTTTTTATGGAAGAGAAGTGTTTCTAATTTAGATGCTTTCATCTAATTCAAATCATTTCAAGTCCATTTTACTGAAATGCTTTGAGCACAGAACAATAGATACAATTGATTTTCATATCCTAACTATCTTTTGGACCTCTTCTTTGTTTAATCTCTAAATACTAAAATCTTAAGTACTACGATCTTACTTTAAAGGTAAACAGGTGGTAGTCAAGGGATTGAAGAGCTTAGTGATAAAGAACAGAATGCCATTTCCCATCATCTTTCTATACATTTTGTTTTAACTAAACTGTTTTAACAGGTGTGTGTGTTGTTTTTTTAAACAGTTAAGTCAGTTTTCTCTGTAAACCTTTGGCTTGACTTCTAGTTTCTGGTCACTAGATCAAAAGAGAACAACTTTCAAAGCCAACTTTTAATAATTTATAATTATGGGAAAAAATCTAAACTTTTATAAGTTTTCATTAGAAAATGTGACTGCCATTCTAAAAGTGTATTTTTTTTTTTTAAAGATTTTATTTATTTATTTGAGAGAGAGAGAAAGAGAGACAGAGAGCATGAGAGGGGGTAGGGTGAGAGGGAGAAGCAGGCTCCCCGCTGAGCGGGGAGCCCGATGTGGGACTCGATCCCAGGACTCCAGGACCATGACCTGAGCCGAAGGCAGTCGCTTAACCAACTGAGCCACCCAGGCGCCCTAAAAGTGTATTCTAATTATAGGGCTTCCTAATCAAATGAGACACAAAGTCCCAAGTAAACAGTACAGCTCTCACATGTAGTTGTACAAAATGGTACATCTTGGGACCAAGTCTCCAGTGAGGGTGGTCAAAGGAAAGGAATGATCCAGGTTTCTCTCCCAACAATTTAGTCCTTTGTCCAAGGAGAAGAAATTCGACCATGTCAGATTTCCAGCTCTTTGGTTGAGATCGCTTAGGAAACAAGGACCATGACCACAAGAGAAAGAATAGCAAAGAGCACTTGGTTCAAAATCACACTGTAGATTCTATTTTAATACACTATCAAATACTGTGATACTATGTAGCAAGAGAGAATATACAATTTGGAGAACACTAAAAACCTAGGTATGTGGGTTTTTAGGGTTTGCTTTTTAAAATTTAGCACTCATTAAAAAATATTTACTGAGAGAATATATAAATACAATATACAATATAAATTCCATGAGAATGAGGACCGAGTCACCAGAGTACATTAGGCAGCCAACTCGGCAGCTCTCCTGAGTGTATCTGCTATAAATGCTTTAAGATGAGAACACAGGTCTAATGAGCTGAGAAACATTTTCCTGAATTCCAATAAATGAAAAATTACCTTAAAAGGGGCATTAGAAGAATTAAAAAGAAAGAAATATATTTCCATTCTCTTCTTGTTCCCCCTATTATCAATCATATATATTCCCCATAAATTGATGACCTTCTGGCCTGCTGGAGAATAAGTAAGTGAGCTAAATTATCAATGTGTGGGATTTTTCAGAAGACAGTAATATTTCTTAAATTGATTTTTGGGAAGATAAATGATCACATTCTGATGACTTAGCATTTGCTTTTAAAATCAACTACTTGCATAAATTATAATATTCATATTTACATAGTTATATCCTTTATAACTTTAGCTTTAAGTTCTCTAAAAGGATAATTCAAACTTGTATATGAAATGCATTGATCTGTGGCCTTTAACACTTTTCTGCCACTGTGGCACTGTGCCGTTCTGAAGAAAAGGGACATATTTAGGATCCTACATAATAACTACAAATCACAACTATACTCACAGGCTTTAGAAGACACTACCCCATGAAGCAAGACTGGCAAAGAAAGCACTACCTTGTGGGAATTACTTTCCTTCCTATTACTTTCTATGTGGAGTCAGATAACATTTGGGGATGCCAATCTTAAATACTAGTTAAGAGATAGGAATACATACCTTCATACTCCTTGGCTTCATTTAGGTGGAGGGAAAACATAAATGGGTTCTCAGGATGCTTAGGGTCAATATTAGTGAATATAAACTGTAATTTATCACCTGAAAAAAGAGATTAGATTATTTGGTATGAGAATATTTTATCGTGCCAAGGGTTTCAGTGGAGATGAGCTTTCTCACCTGTCCTTAATATCTATATGCTAAATACATACATACATACATATATTTAACAAAACCTCCAAATGTACAAGTTACAAATTAGTTTTAAATGAACTGTAGTATAAATATGATTTTAAAAAGCACAACAAAAGAAAATAATTGATACACTGGACTTCATCAAAAAATAAAAACTTTTGTCCTTCAAAGGATATTATCAAGAGAGTGAAAAGATAACCCACAGAATGGGAGAAAATATTTGTAAATCGTATCTCTGACATGGATTTAACATATAGGATATATTTTAAAAAACTACAACTGAACAACTAAAAGAAAAGCAACCCAATTTGAAAATGGACAAAAAGGACTTGAATAGATATTTCTCCAAAGAACAGACACAAATGGTCAATAAGCACATGGAAAGATGCTCAACACCGCTAATCACTGGGGAAATGCAAACCAAACTACAATGAGATATCATTTCACACCTACCAGGACAGCTATAACAAAACAAAACAAAACAAGAAAAGTGTGGATGAAGACAAATGCAAGATGGTGCTGAAGCTGTGGAAAAGTCTGGCAGTGCCTCAAAAAGTTTAAAGCAAGAATTACAATAGGACCCAGTGACTCTATTCCGAGGTACCTACTCAAAAGAACTGAAAATAGGGACTCCTATAACTTTGCCAACGTTTATAGCAGCATTACTCACAGCAGCCAAAAGGTGATAATAACCGTGTGTTCACTGATAGATGATCAGATAAACAAAATATGGTATATACACACAATGGAATATTATTTGGTCATAAAAAGGAAGGAACTTCTGATACATGCTACAACATGAATGAACCTTGAAAACATGCTAAGTAAAATAATCCAGATGCAAAAGAACAAATACTATAGGATGCCACCTATATGAAATACTTAGAATAGGTAATTATAGAGACAGGAAGTAGATTAGAGGTTATCAGGGGCTGGGGGGGAGGAATAAGAAGTTATTGCTTAATGACTGTTTGCAGTGATGAAAAATTCTGGAAATGTGCTGATGATTGCACTGCATTGTCAATGTAATTAATGTCACTGAACTGTACGATAAAAATAGTTAAAATGGCAAATTCTAGGTCATAGTTTTACCACAATAAAAAAATGTACTACTAAACAGATTTAATTTGACCTTTTCTACACAGTAATCCAGACTTAATGCCTATTTTCCAAAAGACCTCCAAATGCTCCCAAAGGAGTAAATGCCCATTAGAAATTAAAAATGGCAGCCACAAAGTAGAAACTCACGTACATTTTAATTTTGCTCTACAGCATAAAAAATTAGGAAATCTCATTTTAAAAATAGTTGTAATTAGGTCGCGGCTTGCGTGGAGTCAGCTCACGGGTCTGGGAGACCTGAAAATTGAGAGCTTCTTTGTACTCCAGCAGCTGCACCCGACAGCTCTGCGGCCGTCACCACGCCACAAAATGAATACACTGAGTTACACCGGAAGCGATATGGTTATTGTTTGGATTACCATGAAAAAAAAAAGAAAGGTCGAGAGGCTCATGAACGATTAAAGAAGGCAAAAAAGATGATTGGTCTGAAAGCTAACCTCTACCATAAACAGTGCCATGCTGAGACAATACAAATGAAAAAGACTATCAAGATGCATGAAAAGAGAAACACCAAAAAAAAGAATGGTGAAAAGACTCCACAAGGAGCAGTACCTGTATATCTACTGGACAGAGAGGGACAGTCCTGAGCTAAAGTACTTTCCAATATGATTAAACAAAAACGAAAAGAGAAAGCAGGAAAATGGGAAGTTCCTCTACCCAAAGTTCATGCCCAGGGAGAAACAGAAGTATTAAAAGTTATTCGAACACAAAAGAGAAAGAAGCAAGCATGGAAGAGGATGGTCACTAAAGTCTGCTTTGTTGGAGACAGCTTTACTCGAAAACCACCTAAATATGAAAGATTCATTAGACCAATGGGCTTACGTTTCAAAAAGGCCCATGTAACTCACCCTGACTTGAAAGCCACCTTTTGCCTGCCAATACTTGTTGTAAAAAAGAATCCTTCATCCCCACTATATACAACTTTGGGTGTTATTACCAAAGGTACTGTAATTGAGGTGAACCTGAGTGAGTTGGGCCTTGTGACACAAGAAGGCAAAGTTATTTGGGGAAAATATGCCCAGGTTACCAACAATCCTGAAAATGATGGATGCATAAATGCAGTCCTGCTGGTTTGACAGCAGTTTCAGACACGAAAATCCTTATAATTACTGAAGACTACACACCGATCAGGAAGACCACCATTATTGTGGTGGTTCTGAATACCACCAAACAGCCTTACGTATCTGCAGTCATCAAGAGAAGTATTTATTCTATTGTGAAAAACATTAAAATAGACATTAAAATAAAAAAAAATAGTTTTAATTACAAAAAGTAATATTGAAAAACATGTCTTACACTTTTAATCAAAATGAAATAATTACATTAGTACACCAGATTTTAAAAACAAGATTTATTGATTTATTGATTTATGAGAGGGGTGGGGAAGGGCAGAGGGAGAGAGAATCTTGAGCAGATGCCACGCTGAGCAGGGAGCCCGACACCTGTCGCAGGTCGCTGGGTTTGATCTCACAACCCTGAGATCATGACCTGAGCTGAAACCAAGAGTCTGTCACTTAGCTGACTATGCCACCCAGGCACCCCCAGTACACCAGATTTTTAAAAGTGTTAATAGTAATGGGAGGGAAACATGCCAAGGAAAAAAGACTTCCTAAGATAATGAAGGGTTTAATTTGGGTTGTCTTCTTTAAAAAACATTTCCTGACTTTTGAGGGCTATGAGAAAGTTTTATTTTTAAATCTAAAATAATTCTAAAGCTTTCTGGTTCAAAAGCACCTCAGGATGACAGTAAGTCCAATGGATCAAAAATTCAGAGCTGGACCCTATATTTCCCTCTAATCAAAAGGTTATTATTTTTTATTAAAAGCTTATTCCAACAGATGGAGGGGTGGGGCAGAAACAAGACTCACAGATATATGAATGAAGAGCCCAGACAATCAAAGAAATATAATTAAATATACAGAAAAAAGGTTTACCTTTTCATTAATAATCAAAGAAATGCACTTAAAAATAAATGCTCCAATTATATCAAGTCAACTACCAAAAAAAACCCAAACACAAACAAACTTAAAAAACTACAATTCTTGCAAGAAAACAATGAAATGGGTACTCTTTACATTGTAGAGAGGTGTGCACAAAAGAATTAATATGGCAGGCCTGACGCTGCTATCATTAAGAATTTTAGAAAGGCCTGCTTGCAAGTTGGTCATTGGCTGGTGTTGGGGCCCCCCAAACCACCCCAGATTTGAAGAGTCACAAGGAGGAATCATAGGACTCCCCACAGGGTCATACTCACGGCTATGATTTATTAGAGAGAAAGGCTACGGCAAAATCAGCAAAGGGAAAAACACATGGGGTGAAGTCTAGAGAAAACCAGCACAAGCTGCAAGAGTCTCTGATGAGCTTCCCCGGTAGACAACACTTTACACATATTGTCACATTCAGTGCTAAGGGAATTAAGCACATCCTGTGTGACTCTGCTGGATTAAGACTCTTAAAAAATTATGTCTGAAAAAGTGTTTCTTTTAGACTTTGCCCCAGTGCCTTTTTTGGGCTGATTTTGTTTTGTATCCTCTCTGCAATAAATCTGAGCCATGAATATGACTATATGCAGAGTCCTGTAAGTCTTTCTAGGGAATCACCAAACCTGACGGTGATCTTGGGGACTGCTAACACAACAAATATTGATATAAATTGGCACATATACTACACATAACGCCATTAAAATATTTACATGCTTTAACCCAGTAATGCCTCTCTGGGAATTCCATGGAAATTATACAAAAGAAATGGAGAAGTCTATATTCACTATAGTACTTCTAAAACCGAACCACAGGCAGAATCCAAAGGTTAAGTTAGAAACAAACCTGTATTAAATGATAGATAAAAGACTGGATAAATTAAGATACATTAACGGAATGAATTATTACACTACCATTTTAAAACTACCATAGGAAGGCGATAGCAACTGGAAAAATGCTAATCATACAATACCAGTAAGAACAAGGAACAAAAATTATTTTCGTGGTGGCAATCATGCCAAAAATACATTTATTAAAATACTGGATGATAAATAACCAAGGCAGCAGTAATTATGTTAGGATGATAAAAATGTTTAAATTCTTTCCGATTTTCTAAAAAGTTAATAATGTTGTCATTATTTTCTTTGAGAACATTTTTTAAATTCGCTACTTAAGATATACCTTTCTAATCTCGTATGTTTTACTTACATTAATATACATACCATAAATTTTTCGAATTTCTAGTCCAAGTCGATCTTTATATAAGTCTGCAGATTTCTGTAGTCTTTTCAACCTCTCTTCATTAGCTTTGTTAGCAGCAGAAATAGCTATGATTTTTTTAAAAAATACACATATTTGAATAAGAAATTTTTTTAGACAAAGAGACTTCACAGCATAAAAAATGTGCTTAATAGTTCCTGGCAGAGAATGTGTGATCAATAACTCTGTTGCATAAAATATACTATGGCTTCTCCAGACAAATCTAATTTAGTGAAACTGTCTCCCACTCTGCTTAATTAAGCTGCCATATCAATTGCATTATCACTCTGGTTATATGAGAAATCAAAAGGACCTTTAAGTAAAACAAGATAAAATACAGCCCACTTAGCTAACTTCACACAGCTTCCTTGCAGAACTGAGTGGCTGGCTATGTCCCTGAGGCATGTCATCCATTTTTAGTAATGAACTGGAGAGAAGGCAAGAGATACAGAATTGTGAACCATCACCACTTTGAAATTTAGGTTAATGTTTTAAATATGTGTATAACTGGAAACTTACTTTCCTTCTTCTTAGCATATTCTTCCTTAAGATCCTGAATATTTGCAGTCAGTACTTCCAGTTCCTGCTTTTTGTCTTTTATTTCAGCAATCAACCTTAACAAGTTATCTTTTTTTTCTTGAATGAGGTTATTCTGCCTACAGATCTCTGTAAGAAACACAAAGTGTTAGCTAGAATATATATACTTTGTTCTCCAACATCTATCACAGATAAGAAATAATTGACTTTCATAAGATCAATAATGTTTTAGTTGGTAAGTGCTTCCTAATGGTTCAAAAATTATAAAGAACAAAAAGAAAAAAATCCTATTCTTTTCTATTTGCATTTGAAAATAAAAGACCCTGCAGCTCTACTCTTCAAGTAAGTACATAAATAAAGCTCACCATCAAAGACAACCAAAATCTGGACAATGTTTTTACACAGTGCTTTAAAGAAACGGTTCATTCTAATGTTGTATTAATGATTCTGGAAGACACTAAAAAAAAAAAAAAAAAACAGAAAGAAGTGAAGGAAGAGAGGAAGGAAGGATGAAACCTCATTTATATTTGTAATAAACAAAACATGTAGGAATAATCTAGATCAAGAAATATGTAGGCCCTATATGAAAAAAAGGGCAAAACCTGTCTGAGACATGTATTTGATTTGACCTGGATGTATGGAAAGACATTTTATGTTTCTAAATATTATAAAGGTGTCACTATTTCCCAAATCCATTTCTTTTTTTTTTTTAAAGATTTTATTTATTCATTTGACAGAGAGAGAGAGAGAGAGCACAAGCAGGCAGAGAGGCAGGCAGAGGGAGAGGGAGAAGCAGACTCTCCACCGAGCAGGGAGCCTGACATGGGGCTCGATCCCAGGACCCTGGGACCATGACCCGAGCCGAAGGCAGCCGCTTAACCGACTGAGCCACCCAGGTGCCCCCCAAATCCATTTCTATATTAATGCAGTCCCAATGGAATTTGAGGGAAGGGAAAGAGAAGACCTAAAAAAGTAACTATAAAATTTATCTGACGAATACACAGGTGAGAAGAGTTAAGGAAATACAGTAAGAAAAATAATGAGGAAAGGGACTTGTCCTATTAAATTTAACATCTGTGATTGTGACACTTTTAATACAATAGTGGGGTACCAGCTGAAGAAATGACATACAGTTTAGTTAAAACAAAAACTGCATTTCCAAACAAACATTGGTATATTTAGGAAATTAATATGAGAAATGAAATATAAAAACAAGTGGTAGATGGTTTCCCCAAACCGTGCTGAAATCCAAAATAAATTCCATATTTATTAAATATTTAAATATAAAATGAAATCTTACAAAACCTAAAAGGCAGTATCTGAATATAAAATTACTTCTATGGGGAAAGATCTTTTTACTCAAAGGCAAAAAGAAATCAAAGAGAAAAACATATACCAGCTACATAAAAGTTAATAAGTAGGCGAAAAACCTCATATTTGATTCAAATAAGCAAACTCTACTATATGCTAGGAACTTTGTTCAACACCTTATACTTCTGTAAATTTACTTAAATTTCACTATTATACATTTTGTAGATCTAATTTAAAAGAGGAAAAAGGCTCAGCAGATGACTAACGTGCCCAAAGCTTTACTTGCTAGGATGCAATAAATAGAAGACCTGGATTCAAACTCAGGATTTGACTTTAAAGACCATGCTTTTGAGCATTAAATATTCTCCCCAACTGTTTTTTTTTTTTTTAAGATTGATTTATTTATTTGATAGAGAGAGAGAGAGAGCACAAGCAGGGGGAGCAGCAGACAGAGGGAGAGGGAGAAGCAGGCTCCTTGCTGAGCAGGGAGCCCAACTCAGGGCTCAATCCCAGGACTCCAGGATCATGACCCAAGCCAAAGGCAGCCACTTAACTGAGCCACCCAGGTGCCCCTCCCCTGACTGTTCTTAATCTAAAGAAGACACAAATATAAATTCCTAAGACAAAAACAGACAAAAGAATAAACAGAGGAAATGTAGACTGCAGATGGCTAATAAATATGAAAGACAATTTAACACAAGTAGTAATCACAGAAATGCAAATAAAGCAATAACATACCAATTTTAATTTAGTACAACAATGTTTACAAAAATAACAGCTAGCAGTTGAGAAGAATGCAAAATACTAAAGTTCTTGTAGCATATCTTTGACATTGCAAAACAAGTCTTAAGGATATTCATGTCCTTTGATTAGTTACTTCATTTCTACAAGTTACTTTAAGAAAACAAGATGTGTGCAAGTACTTATATACAAAAGATTATTTTCATTATTATTTATAATGGTGAAAAACTGAAAACATCCTAAATGGCTCATGGGTAAATTATTAAATACAGTAGATCAATAAGGTAGAATATTTTTTCAAAGAATTTAGCAATATGGAAAAATACTCTAAAAAAAAAAGTTATATAGACACCATGAACAAAATTATGTCAAAAATACTACATAGCACATGAAAAAGAAAAAAGAAAAAAAGTACGTCACTTTGTTAAATATGATTCTCAACGTTTCAGATAATTTGTTTGCTTTTCTGTATTTTCCAAGAATTTGGACATGATCATATATTATGTCAAGTATAATTTAAAGATAGACATTTTATCAGAATTAACAGAAAGAAAAATGCTTTAAAAAAAAAAAATTCAATTTAAACCAAAACCAAAGCCAAAAACAGTTCAGCCATTTCTTCTCCCAAACCCTGCCTCTGGCAACCACCAATCTGTTATCTATGAGTTTGCTTGTTTTAAAAAAAATTTTTTTTTTAGATTCCACACATATCATATAGTATTTGTCTCTCTGCCTTATTTCACTTAGCATAATGCCCTCGAGGCCCATCTATGTCACAAATGTCAACATTTCATTACTTTCATGGCTTTATTCTATCATGTATATATATATATATATATATATATACACACACCACAATCACTTTATCCACTCATCCATCTATGAACACACAGGTTGTTTCCTTAACTTGGCTATTGTAAATAATAAACACGGGGGTGCAGATATCTTTTTGAGTTAGTTTTCATTTTCCTCTAATAAACACCCATAGTGGGGATCATATGGTAGGTCTATTTTTAATTTTCTGAGGAACCTCCATACTATTTTCCAGAGTGGCTGCTATAGAAAAATGCTACTTTAAAAAAAGGTAAGTATGTTGTATGACAAAAGAGATGCATATTTAAAGTCCAACGGTCTCGGTTCCATCCTGGTTTCTCAGTTGTCACCCAAGGACCTTGGTCAAATTACAACTTTGGCGACGCTTATGAAACAAGAATAATGATGGCGGCTCCCTGTATTTACTTCACAGGGCTAGAGTGTCCAATAATAATAATATGGAAACTTCTAAACTATTAATGATACATAAATACCATATATGTCAGTGTTTTTATTACAACATTTAAAGAACTGTATGGGGGCACCTCGGTGGCACAGGCAGTGGGTGTCTAACTCTTGATTTTGGCTTGAGTCGTGATCCCAGGGCTGTGGGATCAAGCACATCGGCCCTGTGCTCAGCGCAGAGTCGGCCTGTGATTCTTTCTCTCTGCCCATCCCCCCCCACCCCCTGCTCTCTCAAATAAATAAATAAATAAATCTTAAAAAAAAAGGTTCTGGAACCTTTCAGAAAGAAAAGAAAAGAGAAGAAAGAATGAACTGTATGGATTTGTGCCAACACAAATGTAAGGGCCCTTGATGTTGCATAACTATTATTTTACGTGTACATAGTCAGCTGTCTCTTTTATTCTCTAGGGCAGGTATTTCAAACTTTCACTACTACTCACCACACAAACCCTCCCTCGAATTTTCCTTCCGTGTGGAAAGGTTGTTTCATGCTAACACTGGAAAGAGCAGACATTTTGGCTGCACTCTTAAACCTTGTATCTATCAAATGTATGACCTTAGCTAAGTTTCTTAATCTCAGTGAGCTTCAAATTTCTGTCTTGTAAAGATTTCAGGATTTAAGAGCCTGGTCCATAGTAAATGCCTCTCACTTTGAACAGAGGATCTTCCTCCTTTTGATAAATAGAAGGAACAGATGCTCCAGGTGGGCCAGAATTTTTGGCTAATTTGTTCTCTGCAGTATCTTCCTAGAAGGGTACCTGGCGCAGAGTAGCTACTCAACAAATATGTGGTGAGTGAATAAGTTCCCTCAAGCTTGCCGACTCCCCACGTGTATCTGTATCAGTATCCTCTCCTGACAGAGTACCAGTGGCTCCTTCTCCAATCTATGGTTAATCCAGATTCCCTCCCCTCTATTCTACTACTCATCGTCCCCTGACCCTTTTTTTCAACATCTGTTTCTCCACTGACTTCTTTCCTGCAGCAAATAAACATGCTCATTTTAGGGTAGACACCTTAAAAATGAAAAAAATTCTGTGCTCACTCAGCCCATTCCATTATTACAGCAATTATTACCATGTATTTTAATTGTGGATTTCCTGTCTGTATATTCCACTAAATTGTGACCAGTATGTAGACATCATACTTTGTGCACTGTTGTCTCCACGCTAGACAAATATCAGTCAAATCTTCACTGAATTAATTAAACTTAGGTAAATTATATTTCTGTTCAAGCATAAACTGATATTTTAAAGAAAAACAATTGATAATGCTTTTAGATTTTAGACTATTTAGAGCATATTTTCACTACAGGTCATCTTTAAGAGCACACTGAGACTCATAGTAGCAAAAATTGATAGTTTCAAACTTACGTTTCTAACCCCCAGCAATTCTACAAACCAAGAATGTTTACACACACACACATACATACACACAAGTGGTTTTCCTTTCTGCTTGTGGTTACAGAAGAAATGAAAACAATAAAAGGGCAAGGAAGCTTCAGGGCAGCTCAGAAAGTAAATATGGGTAAAAGGCTAGCATTATAGCCTACCAGGGTTCCAAAATCAAACGCCTTCAGGGGCCAGATAATAAGTGGGCAAAACAAAGCCAAAGAAATTATTGGGGATTGTAGCAAATTAAAGGACACATGTTCCATCTAAAGACATTCCATTAATAGTGTTTAAAACATGGTGCCATGAAATTTAGCCTGTGGCCACAAGTCTGTGATCTGTGTATAAGAATTCAATAAAACCTACACATACACCGTGGAAACTCCAGAGTGGTATAAACGAGAGGGCAAGAATAACAGGAAAAATATGGAGAAAACAGTCAAGAGTACTAACCCTACCCCCAAAGAACTGAGGAACTCCAGCTTTTCAACCCCCAGCCTATGACTTCCATGAGAAAACAAACTCATTTTTCAAATAACTGGAATTTACACATCAGCACAGATGAATCTCACAAGCATACTGATGAATAAAAAAAGGGACAGGATACACACAAAATGATGCCATTTATATAACATTCAAAAAACAATACTAAATACTAAGAGGTTAGTTCTGGAAGGTGGGAGAAGAGAAAAGTATACATGGGATGTTCTATTTCTTAAGCTGGGTTGTAGGTACACAAATGTTTATTAGTTTTATAGGTATGTGTATATATACACACACACAATACATTGTTTTATTTGTATGAGGGATTGCCTAAAGATGTTCAATCTAAAAAAACTCTGTGATCTACAGTTTGTCACCTACGATTTTGATATTCCAGAAACATCTCAACCATTCGTTCTTCTTCCTTTAATTTCACAGACAGCTTTTCTGAAAGAGAAATTGGAATTGAAGTTTCAATTCAGCTGAAATAACATAAAAAGCAAGAACAACAAAACAGCATGTTACAAGTTAACTTCAGTTACCTCCACATGCTTTGATGGAGTCTTTGTAGGTATCTCTTAGTCCCACCATCCCACAGGAAGTGTCACTGACAGTGCTTTTGAATTTATTCCAAAATTCATTTATGCTTTTATCAAATAGTGCAAGTTCGTCCTCTATCATTTTGGAAGAAAATGCTACAAAACAAATAGAACATTATATTTCTTATGAGTCATTGAAATCAAATCAGGCTCACATTCCAATCAAGAGTATTTTGGCAGTGTGACCTTTGCTAGAAAAGAGTTAGCAGCTTACTTTTAACTCTAGATATTCCAGGGCAGATCAAGCCATCTGGACTTAACCACCGTTAAGATGCAAGATTCCAGGAAAGACATCTTTACCTCCCAGGGACTTGTCAGTAGTGTAACTGCACAAGACACTCACACAGCTCTATGACCTTGGGAAAATGATTCTGACTCCGTTTTCTCACAAGTAAAATTGGTAACTTATAAGGCGTTTCCAACTCTGACCATCTGAATTCTGGCCTGCATTGCCAGGTCCCAGATGGATGGTCCCCTCTCATAGGATAAAACCCCACATCTAGCCTGTCTCTCCCTCCCACTAAGATCAGGAAAAGTAGCACTAAACAGGCGACTGGAGTGGGAATTTAGTGGGCTTAGTCCAGGAAAGGTACAAGTCACCTGCACTCTCTGGGTCTTGGTGTCCTCTTCTGTAAAACAGTGTCCCGTAAGACTGCAGGCTCCACCAGTTTTCTGTACCGCTAAAACCATCCCAAAAACCTAAAACCTTCCCAGGAGGGCCACAGACCTCTCATTCGCTGAAACCCGGAACCTTTCAGCCTCACCGCCGCCCACCCGACGTGCAAACAACAAGCGGTGCATTTCAGACCTCGTTCTCGAAAATAAATCCCGCCCGGAAACCCACTTTCCCTTATCGCGACAGGCGGATCGGGGAGCCCTGGTGAGTTCCCACCTCCCTCACCTTCTCCAGGAGGCCTGAGCCCCGCCACCTACCCACAAAAGACCTGAACCAATTCGAGCCAAAACCGGGTCTCCAGAACCAGGTCCCGCAGCCGCGCCAACTTTCCTATTTCAAATCTTAGGGCGTCTTGCTCCTCCCGCCCTCGGGCGCCCATTCGCCTTCGGATTGGCTGATAGCTAGGCTCCTCATGACGGGATTGGTTGATCTAGCCCTCCGGGATTCTCGCGAAAAGATAGGGGAAGTGCATTCTGGGATTTGTAGTTTTCTCTGAGACAAGTCGGACTCTCAGCTCTGCTTCGTAAAATACTAATTAATAGCTCCAGAGGAACTCGCCCCAGCACAAGGCCTTCATCAGTTTCAAATAAAGGCTTCTGTAACAAATATAAATATTGAGCTTTAATCGCATTCTGTTGCCAAGTATATTCCCTCTTCTTTAATACTCCCTGTAGCTTAAAGTTAATTAAAAAAAAATAATAAAGCTAATAAAAATACCATTGCTTAATCTGTCTCATCATTTGGTTGGAACATTACTGTCTACTGGCTTCTAATATGAACGTTTCCAAAATTTCTTAAGTCTCTGTTTTTGACCATGTGAAACAGAAACAAAGAGCAGTACCTAGTACTGGTATTCTTTGCCCCAGTAGAAACTCAAAGACACAAAACTTTTTATGGACAAGTTTCTTGGTACCTACCCTCTCTGATAGTCTGTGTTGCTGATAAAAGCGAAAAGAAGCGGGGAAGCCAGAAGTAATTCAAGGTTTTCAACTCTGATATCTGTAAGAATGGTGATGCTGTTGGTGGGATGGAAATCATCTTCGTGGTTGTTTTGGTGTGCTGGGGGAAGGGTGATGCAGGGAGGTGAGGCAGGAGAGGATATTGTTGGGAGATCCAAGTGTTAATATCCCGTAGGCATGTTACTTCTTTAGTCAATTCAACAGTGGCTAACTGCTCCAACTCTGCAGTAATACTGCCTGAGTTTGCAATCCAGCCTCCATCATTTACTAAGTTTGATGTTGGGCAAGTTACTTGGCCTATTGGACCTCAGTTTCCTCATCTGTAAAGTGAGGGTAACAATAATAATACCTTCTTCCTTCATATATCCAATGTGAAGACTAAAAGAGATAATAAATGTAAATGCCTTCGAAGAGGTCCCTATAATATAAGTACTCAAAATGGTTTCTTGTTTTCATGATTTTATACCCTACCTACTTCCTATGCAATAGACTGTCATATTAAAACACATATAAGTAAGACTTTAAATAGAACAAAATCTAAGTTGGCCAAGAAATAAGAGAAATTATTACAACTGAATACTCACTTTAGCCAAGGCAATGCATATTGCTCCCATTACAAGACAATCACACTACTTGTTGAATTTTGATCTTAAGGAAACATGCATTCTGCTATGTCTGGATAAGTATAGAATATATTCCTTCCACCCAATTCAAGTTGAATTAATTAGGTGTGGTTATTTAGCATTATCCATTTAATAATTTGCCAATATCTCACAAATATAACAATTTTAGTTTCAACATATGGATACTAAATTTCAAACAATAGTCTGAAAACAGTTTCAGTAACTTCTTTAGGCCATTACTAGTTCAAGATAATAAATTATTTCCCCAGCTTGAAATAATGTGTGGACCATCTATCTACGCGTTCCTGGTAGAATCTGGCAAAGCATGACCGATCTATGAGCAAAATGGAAAAAAAAGAGTTTATTAGCAAGGCTTTGAGATATTCACCACTGACACAAGGCTACAACTATATCTCTTAGACTAAGGTGAACATCTTGCAGCTGACTCATTTTTCTGCCTTCTTTAGTGGATTACTCTTGCTAAGTTGACTCCAATTATTAGTGGACGGAAACATCCAGATGGTCCTCAGAATCGATTCTTGTGGTTTACAGAAGATCTCTTCTTTTCTACTCTTCCAGCTTTTCTGACAATATTTTGGGGGGCTTATAGAACATTGCTATCTTGCAGAATTTCAAACTGGAAGGAACTAGAACTCTATTAAAATCATCAGAGGACCAGAAAGAGGCACTAGCTATTCAACTTGAATTTGCTAAAGGATGGACAAGACGCAGGGATACTTGTCAGGAACTCCAAGTAAATGAAATTGATTCACTATTTGCATCCTTCTTGATAAAGCTGAGGAGGAAAGAAAAATAGAAAAAGAACACAGAGGATATGCACTTTAAAGAATGGAAAATATATATGGCTTGTATTATGGAGTTAAAATTATTATTTTCATCTCTGACCATGGCATGTTTGTGGATATAAAGCCCTTGATTATAGGCCAAAAGGTCTTTACTACTATTTTCTTTCATTATCGTTAAGGATTCAAACACCAACAATAAAACATATGTGTAAATAACATGCTCAGGGGTACCTGATATTGGGTACTCTATCCTAAGAGCTAATTCAGACCAACAAAATCAGGACAAATTATTACCAACATTTAACACATCACAACATGAGTCAGATTCCAGCCAAGGGACTGTTATTAATAAGCTTAGACATATAGTTTGCTGTAATATCTCCTTTCATTTCACAGATATTTATCCAAGGACTTCTGATTTCTGGTAATATTTATCTTAAAGCAAAATTGTATCTATTGGCATCTCAGAACTTGAGCTGAATGAATAATGATGCTTGTTTCTAAGGTTTTCACTGGTCCAGGTTAGTGAATACAGTACTTAACAAGATTCATGGAGGGGTGCTGAGTGGACCACCAGCTTGATGAATTACTTACTGGACCTTGGACTGCGGCAAGTGGTTGTCCCACTGATGTGCAGATTTTAGGGCAGCCCCTGGTGTCCACTCTCTTTTATTCTTTCTCAGGGCTCATCCTCAACCAAGGAGTGAGGGAGAAACTTCTGTGTCATTTGTCAAAATATTCCTCTCTAGAAGAAAAGGTGAATGGTTTCTCTCTATTCCACCAAACGTAGCTAGAAACAACCAGCTTTTCTTTCTGTTCAGCACAGCTTCCTTGGCTTTAAAAAGGAAAAAGCAGAAGCTCCCCCATCACAACTCCATAGAACACCACCATCATCACTATCATCATACATACCTGCCTTTCATTTCAACCCAACCAGGAGTTTTGGGATATCTCTTATGTGCCATGTGCTGAGAGGGGCACTATATTCCCTGAGATACATATGGTCTGTAACCCAGAGTAGGGGAGGGGGTAGCAGGAAGTAGGTACGTATTTCCAGTCTGGGGGCTTCTGGGCCATGGTTACAGGAGCCTTGGTCAGACTGACGGAAACTCCATTGCTCCTTCTCTGGCAACTTGATTCTTTCTCCAATGGGTGAAGGATCATGGGGTACAAGAATAAAGGTCATTGTCCTCTATGGCACATGCCCTTGCTGAGTAGATACCTTCCATCTTGGGGGCAGAACTCAGGATTAAAATGATAAAAGCAATGCCATGGTTAAGATTAAAAGTTTTCCACTTTTCTAGATATAAGGATCCCTTTATGACATACACATTTATACTGAACTCCCCAAATGCTAGCTAGTACTTGTACTTTCAATATCTGTTCACTGAGAAAATTAAAAATGATAAGGAGTTACTATGAATTCAGAAGAGAGGAAAGCTCTTTGGGCAGATTCCAGGTTAAGAACAAGTAATAGAAAATGCCTGTATTCGAAAGACTCTTGAACAAAAACTTTAAATTTTCTAGATCTCTGCATGGCCTATGTCAGGAGTCATTGGAAAAGATGATTCAAGAAAATGTCTCTTATGATAATTGCTATGATCAAAGCACAGTATATCCAAAGTGAAGTCAACCTTTAGTGCCAGATTTTACCTGGAGCCTTTCATTTCCTCCCTAAAATTTAAAAAAGGGCTAGGACCTCCAGCATGGTGGAATGAAGAAGTCGCCAAATCCTGTCCCCAAAAAAGCAACTATAAAACTGAACAAAATTATAAAAACCAACCATTTCAGTGCCCTGGAAAGAACCCAAAAGCTTACAGCAAACTAAGATGCAATTATTCCTAAAAAAAATACTAAAAAACATAATTATTTTGAGTATTAAAAATACTCAAAAACATTATTAAGTCAGAGACAAAAGGCTACATATTATATAACTCCCATTGCATAAAACGTCCTTTGCGTAAAATACCTTTTGCATAAGATATCCAGATAAGGCAAATCCACAGAGACAGTTCAGTCCTTGCTTAGAGCTGGGAGTGGAAGCAAACATTAACTGCATGAGGGCACAAGGGAACATTCCACAGTGATGGAGACATTCTAAACTGGTTTGTGGTGATGGTTGCACAACTCCATAAATTTACTAGAAATAACTGAATTGTACATTTACAATGGTGAATTTTATGATATATAAATTATCCCTCAAATTATTCATTTATACCTCAAAATCATTAAAATAAAAAATATGAAGGACATCAACACTTCAAAGAAAAGAAAGTGTACATTTTCCAAACATACAGAAGACATTCTATATAGTAATAAAATCCTGATGTACAGTAAAGTTTGAGAATACCTACAGTAGGTTGGTATTCTTTGGGCCATCTATAAAAAGGTACCCAGGTGCAAAGTGTCTTAACTGCACTATGAAGAAAAAGAATAGTATTGCCCAATGGGCTGCTCTGTTAGGTCCTTTGGTGATCCAAGGAAAAGTTTATGAACGTACAGTTCATGATCATTTATAGAGAAGAATGAATAATGAGACAAGTGGAGGGGGTACCTAGAAAATATCGATAGCCGGGTCACTTGTAACAGTGTCATCATGGAATGCCAATATTCCCGGAATCCTAACCGGAATGGAAGTAATTCTTTTCTGAAAGTCACTAGGGTCTCAACTCAGGCTGAAA